ACCCAAATCTTCCTGATATAGTTGCACCCTAGCTTCTGTGTCTCTAACGACCCACAGACATTCTCATCTTCATAACATCAGAGAAAACAGCTCATCAAATCAACGGCAATGCTTTACCCCAACTGATACAATCAGCAACACATTAAGATCAAGCACAACTTGGACACTGACCACCTGTGGTAGTCACTAGTCTATCACCCTTAAATCATTTGAATTAAATTGAAATCAAGAAGCAGTCCAGAACATGTCTGCAGTGAACAAACTTTTCAATATAGTATATTTACCATTTAATGGCTCAGACAGAGCGAGGATGCAAGACCCCTGGTCTCAGTTAGCTGATTGCTGAACCCCATGACGCTGACTGACCTCGGGCTGCAAGGCCCAGATTGAGTTCCCCAACCTTCTGAATGGTTAAACTCCGCAACTGTTCTATTACAGGTTTCCCACGCCCTTTCTTTAAAGATGTTCAAAGTTGGGAAGTCAGGACAATACCTTTGATGACCACCTCTATCTTTGCAGAGTGGGTCCAAAGACTGGCACAGTCAGGAGGACTGAGAGTGCGGGGGGCAGGTGGATTATGGGGGTTCAGGGGCACCCGCGCGGCTGCCTTCCTGGCGCTTGAGCGATGGCGGCTGGGTCGGGAGCAGGCGTGGTTCTCCTTTCCGTGGTGGATCTGGGCCCAGCCTACCTCCCAGTTCTTGAGTGATGGCTACTGGGTTGGGAGCAAGCGTGGTTATCCTCGTGTTGTTTTATCTTGAACTTTTAAAAAACTGTTCTCTTACAACTAGTTCTAGGATTATTAGATTTAGCCCGATTTTCTGAAAGCCATTGGTTACACATATTGATGTGCAAGACTGAATTTTACAGATGTTATTGCACTGTTTTTCTTTTATCATTGATTTTATTTTGATGTTGCTTTTCAGCTTTCGGAAAATGTAATTGATCGAATGAAGGAATCCTCCCCATCTGGTTCGAAGTCTCAGCGGTATTCTGGTATTTATGGTGCCTCAGGTATCAAAAGCATTTTAATTTCTGGGTTTTTTTAATTGAAAAATTGTAAGTGGAAAATGTTCATTCAGTAGTCAAAATCAGCTGCTCTCTGTCTTTTGCTTTTTAGATATTAACTTTTTATGGGGTATGTTAGAAATCATTAGGGTTTTTAAGTAGTTTAGCAGTATGAATGAACTTACTTTCAAACAGTCTTTGGAAATTTTGTTTCTCATGTAACTCCTAAACTCTCTAAGTGTTAGATGATTTTAAATCTTTATGTGTAAAATAGATTTCTAATAGCATATTGAATATTTAGGAGTAAATATTTATAAAAATTTGAATTTAGAAAAATAATGATTTACTGTTCCAAATTGTTAAGTATTTCAATCAATGTTTTCTAATAAAAATTTTAAAGTTTATCAAATATTTACTTCATCATAGTCAATCTTAGTTATTGATAAAAATAAGCTACTAAGTGAAGTCCAAGAGAATTAGGAAGCCTTATTTTATCTGGTGGTCTTGCTGGATAAGAAAGGGGTAAAAGACCTAACACTGTTACTCTTCTTTTCTTCTTTCCCAACCCACCCATATGTTCATCCTACAAATACTTACTGAGGGCCTGCTGTGTGTCTGGTACTGTTCTTAGTACTGCCCCAGTGATGGACGGGCACTCAGTTTATTGTGAAAGGCAACAAGCAAATAATTAAGAGGATTAATTTTACACTAATTGAGACTTTTGAATATTTATTAGAAAGGGATATATCTGGCTAAAGCTGTGAAATTGAAAAAGATAAGATATTGCTGTCCATCTGCCATTCACTTGGGGCAATTGTGGCTGCCCCATCATTAAGTCAGTAAACATGAATTGGGCTTCTGATATATTCAGAGTAAGGGCTACCAAGATGAAAAATAGTTTTTGCTTTTTCCAAGCTACTTGGTTAATGAGAGAGTTGAGAAAGATTCATGATTTTCTAATACCAAATAGACCATGAGTACTTCTTCCTAGCTGGAAACTCTTTGGCTTCTGGGTCACACTCTTGGTTTTCCTCTCACCTTGTAATTAGCAGCCCAGGCTTTGCTCATTCATTAAGTCACATTTTCCAAATGTATGGCTTTGAAATCATTATCTAGATGACTATGACTCATCACCTCTCTGAAACTCCAGACTTTTAATGGACAACTATCTACCTGAAATCTTCACTCAGGGACCTACAAGTTGGCATATCCCCAAAAAGCTTTTTTTTAATTCTCCGCTGGCTTCTCCTTTCCTTCTTTCCCGGAGAATGGCACAGATAGTCAAGTCACAGTGCAGAGATTCATCCTTGTTTTCTCTTTCCTTACATCAGGCCTTAGCTCATCTTGTCAACTCCATCTCCAAGATATGTTTGAATATATTACAACTTTTCAGGTCTGTTTCTATGCTTCAATGCACACAGCCATCATCTTTTATCATATCTCCCACCAGAGCTGCCTAACTGACTCATGTGTGCTGTACACTCAAAGGCACTCAGAGTTTTTGAAAAAGTAAATTAGTTCATGTCTTATCCCAGTGGTGGCTCTCCATGTTACATAGAATGTCATCTGAACTGGTTTTCTGAACAAGAAACTGGTTTTCTGCCACTCTCTCCCTTTTTAGCATCATCTCATTATCCATTATGGCCCACCACCCTCCTGCTACTTGCCCACTGTGACTGTTATCTTCCCCAGAATATGAGCATATCAGCCTTTGTCTCTTGTCACTTCACAGGTGAATTACCTGCTTCTTAGTGAATCATTGTTAAGTATTTATTGAATTAATATTGGATGTATCTCAGCCATTTTTAAAGCAACTACTTTTGATCATTTTGAAATATAATTTCATTAATTTTCTTAGGGTTTTGTTGTTGTGAGACAGGGTTGTTATTGCTATGTAGTCCAGATTAGCCTTGAAGTTGTAATATAGCCCAGGTGCCCTTGAACTCATGATCCTACTGTTTTAGCTTCCTAGGAGCTGAGATTACAGGTGTGTACTACCACACCTGGCTATGAGTTTAAGTGACATTTGTTGAATGTTTACTTTGCATATAAAATTTTGAGCTATTTCCAGAGGACACATAAATAGAGAAAAATCTGTCCTTTCAAAGAGTTTAGAGATTTTGGGCAGATAGAACTAAATATATAATAATAAAGAAGATAAAACCATAGTATAAAGAAAGCCAGAAAATACTGAAATCACGTATGTCAAGTAGTTTGAATTAAGAATACCTTTTGATATGTACATATTTCTAAAATTGATATTCTAAAATATAATTTGTTCTAGGTAGATTATTTTTCTACCTACTCTAAGAAGACAGGATGAAGAAGAAGAAATAGTGATTAAATAATGGTAACACTTAAGTGATGTTTATTATGTCGTAGGTATTCAGTTAAATCCTTTAGATATTTCTTATCTCATTTACAACCCAATGAGAAGGGAACTATTTTCCTTAGAAGGTAACTGAGACTTGAAGTGATGAATTATTTTACCCAAAGTCACACAGGTGGTAAGCAAAGAGGTGAGAATTAGATTCACATCCATCTGAAGATTCCTGAGCAGATTTTGTTAATCATCCTGTTTTATCATAATTTAAATTGACACCTTGCTTTATTTGTAGAAAGGGTGTGATAGAAACTGGTCAGAAGAAAGGAGCTGCCTTCCAGTGATGTTCTGCTTGAACTTAGGAAGGAACATTCTGTCTTTAAGTGCTTGTTACTTCTTCTTGCTTTTTCACATATTGACTCTCATGCATCAGTAAATGAAGGAGAAAAAGCGTTTTTCTCTTTGGTTGGTTTCTTAAACTGATACTTTGACAGCGTAGATGGGAGTTGGCAGTCTCCTGTGTTGTATATGGTCTGTAGAGCATTATACCGATGACATGATAATGCTCTGATTTTGTTGAGGGATCTATCCCTCCCCATTCCAGATTGACATGGCCGACAGACTCTTTGGCCACTACAAATCTTAGAATACTCCTTTATCTTTTGATGGTCAGGCTAGGATTATACTCTAAGTGGTAGCCACTGTTCATGTGTTATTATTAGAAGTTACATAAAAAGTAGTAAAATAAAAGTGTCATTTTTTTCACTAGCACTGGCCAGATTTCATGCTCAGTAACTGCATGTCACTAGTGGCTAACACAATGGAAAGCACAGATATAGAACATTTTTACTGTGTGGCTCTGGTGTATAGTACATCAGTGCTTGGCATTGTGAGCCTTATTAGATAGTTTTAATGCTGTGATGACTGAAATGATGGAGCTTGGTGGCTCTGTATGTTTGTGCTTCTGAATTTTATTTCCTTCTGTATCACATGCTCCAGTAATAAGGGCAATCGAGAACTTCTGGATATGTTCCCCTTAGGTATGCTATATATTAACTGAGTTTGACACCACTTCTCAGCCTGTGTTTTATGAGTATGTGTTGTACTGGCTCCTTAGCCTTAGAGTAGTTGAATCACTTGGGTCACTCCATGTACCATGTGGATAGTTTCTTCATATGAAAAGTATCAACAAGGCTTCCCTGATCCATTCCAATCTAACCAAGAAAAAAACTAAATTAAGATACACTTTCTAGATGCTCTTACCTTTATGTTAAGAATGCAGTTAGACTGGTTGTGTATATTAGCAGATTTATTCATTTTTACAATAAATACGTTGATAGAAGTAGAAAGCTTCAAAATTTCTTTTCTCTTCTACATTTGTGTCATTTAGGGACTTTAGTTAGTATTCAAAAATAAATTTCTTACAATTTATAATTTAGATATATTATGAAATAATATTTCAAATCTACAAAAATATATTGATAAAAATGTTATATGCCTTTTCTACATTTTTCAGTGTCAAGTAAATTATATATTAAATGTGAGTTGAATTTTTAATATTTATTGAAATGCTTTCTTTCTGATATGACTTTTATTCTTACCAGCCCTAGGGTATTCATGTGTGTGAATATAGGGCAATATATTTGATGGACTGAGAGGCCTAGGATTTCTGAATGTAGAAACTGAGCCTTGTCTGTATATAGTTTTGAGAATTACAGTCTATACTTTAGGAAAGTGAGTTCCTCTGAAGACTTTACTGAAACTAATTTTTTTGCCAAACCTTGAACCAGATCAGTGACTCGTTGTAATAAGTATTTGCATGTAAAGCTGTTTGGGCAAAATAATATACTATGTGACACATAGTAGATTGTAATGCCACTTTAATAAATGAATGTGTTCTAAAGAATTTAACTGTGTCCTTTCTGCCTCATATTCCTTGCTGTGTTATCTCAAATGTATTGGTTTGTTTTTAGACCAGATACATTTTTCTTAGGCTGACACAAAGGAATGCCATTGTATATTACTGTAATCATAAACTTACTTTTTGATTAACATTTTGTATCTTTTGATTTTGAAAACCATTGTCAGGTATTGATCTTTTTCTTTCCACCCTGATCTTTTAATTTTTCTGTTTTAGGGTAAGGTCATACTGCTCATGCTGTACCTTACCTAGTGTTAAGGAACCTGATCCCAACATCACTTATGAAGAAACCAGACAGGAAATTATATTTGGAGGCTATTTGTTGTTTTCCTGAATCACAAGTAGCCAGATAAAAATGATAAATCTGGAAAAAAGACAAATGAACTCACTTTTACTATTAAGCTCAGTGTACAAGTTTTTCTGTGAACTTTTTGTCATTGTGAAAAATAAAAAAGATTTGCCAATTTGAGATCACTAAATATTTGGCAGCCTTAACAAATTACAGGAAATCAATTTGAGCAGGAAATAGTATAGCCAAAACTAAAACAGCCAGTTTAAGGAAACAGATTCATCTATATGTTCTGTGTATTTTTCTCCCAGAATCTGGCCCTCCTAGTTATTTTTAAACAGCTTTTTAAGACTCATTTAGACATAACATTATAGAGAGAGTTCAAAGTAAATAAGTTGTGCTTATTTCTTTGACTTATAAGATGCAAAGGAAGTTGCAAGTGTAGATTTCTGACTTTTAATATATGAGGCTTT